TTTCATAATATAAGTTACTGCTGTGAAAAATGCACTTCAAGGAAATACACGACTTATAGTTCCAGGCCCGTCTTGAGATTCTCTCCATATCAGTTCAACAATTTCAGTTATTACAGAAGGCCTACAACAGCAAAATAACCAAAACCATAGGATAAGTTATGTTTTATTATGTAGCCTACGGAAAGCACATACTATCTTTCTCCCATTCTCTCCCCCTTACACACACATAGCCTACAGTACTGACACACCCACGTAAAAATAAAGTATACTTGAATGCACTAAAAAATTTACATTTGTAGTACATTCTTTTTTTTTCTAAATAAAATTGTAAAAGTTATACACTGTAAATACATTAATCAAAAGTATATTTCTACTTCAGTAGCACTTCAGTGCAATTGCAAAATTATACTAAACACCACTGATATTTAAATGGATTTTAGTTCATTTTTAGTTTATTTAACATACGTTAGTAATGTAATAGTTATAAGTATTTTCCTAACTGTGCTATTTAAGTACACTTAATATAAATACATTAATAAGCACTAACACTTAAATTGATTTTAAGTGTAGTCAGATAAATTGTTATAAAATTGCATTTGTCTAAAGTGTGCTACAAACGCTTTTTAATGGATTTTTATATATAACATCACTAAGTTCTATTTGGATTTTCATGAACAATACAGTAGAAATGAAGTAAAACTATAGGTTACTGTGCTTAGGCTACTATAAATGCACTAATAGCACGATTGAATTATTCATTCATATGTGTTTAGATGTTTACCAAAATTCACAATTTAACAGTAAGTATACTTTTAGCATAAAGTACTTTAAGTGCTATATTTTAATGTGGAAAAAGTGCTACTATAATGACATAGTAATAGTGTACTTGGTTGTACTATTTAAAGACACCATAAACATGTAATTAAGTATATCATATAAAGGGAATGTTAACAATCACGATACATTTGAAATATATTATTGAATCTATAAAAATATGTGGGCAATACATTATAAATACATTTTGTATATATTCATTATATATTGATCTTATATTTTAAATGACTAATAAGTGTATTTTCTATGTATGATGAGGAGTATATTTAAAAGTGTATAAAAGATTGTTTCAATTGTACAGAAATGTGCTGTCAGTGCTGCTCTGGGGATTTTATGAGTAACAGAAGCTAAAGCTACATGGACTGATCAGCTCAGCTTTTGCGCGGCTGGCAGATGCATTGGAGTACTATTTGTGTTTTGCACGCTTCGCGCCCTTAATATGGGGTATGACTTTCAAACAGGAAACATCGACTGTCATCGAAATAGTTCGACTTCCTAAAATGAGATTTTGTAGGACTTCCTGTCACAGGAAACGTGAGTGTCAGGTTCCTGACTTTGTCAGCATTGGTGACCTGCTGAGAGTGTATAAAGCGCTCAATCTCAGACACAACAGCAGATCTCAGAGCAGCAGTGGAATCATTGTGCAAAATAAATAAATAATGATCAAACTTAATTTTTAACTCTAAATAGTACATTTTGCAACAGAAATGAATGTCAGAAGATCTGTGGAGCATCACAAACTGCAGGAATCACGAAATAACCAGCAAAGAGGACGAGACACAGAAGAGAAACCGAGCAAGAAACGAGTCAGACGGAGCAGCATTAATAGAGACGCACCAAACTGTGAGTGTTTATGATCTTTAATCAGTGGCGCAGCGGGTGAAAAGACCGAAAAAACATCCGAGGGGTTGGGAGGGTTATTGCGTCGCAGTATTGGGACTATTTATGTTTTAAACCACGAAGGCAATGCAATGTAATGTAAAACATTAATTTCCCACAAAAAAATCAACAATTTTACTTAAGAATATTTGATTAAACTATATTTTAGTAAACCAAATGAAATCCAAATTTCTATGAAATCCTTTTTTTAAAGCAAAAGTAAAGTGCATCCATCTCAGAGTCCAGATCTCTGAAATCAAAGTTCAGTATTATAGTCTAAGAATGACAACATGTCCACGTCTACTACTAATACAGTTATAATAAAACACACTTTTTAAAGGAGTATTTACCAGAAATCTTATTTACCAGAATTTATTTAGGAGAAAAAAATGTAATTGTGCAGTATTTCTGAAAAAAATTATTAAAAAAAAAAATCAATTAATTGGAGATGCTTTTGATAATTAAAATGTAATGGAACCATTAAAATGGAATCCAGAAAATAATGGAAAACAGAATGTAAAACAATTAATCAATCAATTAATTAGACAGGCTTTTTGATTAATACAATTTAATTTAACCATTAAAACCGAGTATAGAAAAATGAAAATGGAACGAAACTGAATTTGGAAATAGAACGGATTTCATAGGGCTCTATAATTATAATTCATTTTTTTGTGGTAATAAAAATAGATGTAAGTGAACAATAGCCTTTAAAATGACTTAAAATACATATATAATAGCAATGAGGCAATAATAATTAGTTCAAATAAAGTATCAAAAGCAAGAAATCATATGGTTTTATTGAACATAACTGTTAAAATACATAATGTATTATAAACAATCGAGCTAATGTACATTACGCATGACAACAAAGGCCTGCAGAGGGCGCCAACGGCCTGACGATTGTTTTTACACATTACTGTGCGATCTAATACTTGTTTAATATTGACCAAGCACCATTTCATTCAAATGTCCACTTAATCTTTAATATTTGGCCATTTCTTTAGGACAGAAATGCTATAGCCAAAAGAAGATGTGGACATCAAAACGTGCAAACTCAGAGTGAGGGTTTGAGCTTTTATTTTGAAACCGCGATGTATTCTCCTGAGTTTGCGTAGATTTATAAATGATTTACCTTACAAATCTGATGAAATGGCGCACGTTGCGTTCCCAGATGAACGTTATAATAAACCCAAACTCACAACAACATGCAGAGATGGAGTTTGAGACGCTCCACACACGTGTAAATGATAACAGTTCCTGTGGAACTACTGTGAACGGAGCCGCTGTGAGACACATGTGCTTAACCTACACGCATGTACATAATTAAAGCACTTAATTGATTCCTTCTCCTGACATTCATCACAGAGTCCTGTCGGGTGTGTTACAGTGTTTTCCTATAACATGAAGAGTTTTGTTTAGCTTGCAATGTCCAATCCTCAGTCTATTTATTATGACTTGTTCCTTCCTTTTATTTCCATTCTTACTTTCCATACCTATCATATTTTGTATCATGTACAGATGTCTGCCTTTGATATCATTATCCCCCTGCTGCGGCCATCTTTGCATTCTTTTTCCACACTAAACTCTTCCCTTCTGTTTTTGATCGTTTAATTTTGACGTCAACATGTTCTTTTTGTTGTTGCTTCTTTTGCCAGACTGTCTACTTTCTCATTTCCTTGGATGCCCACATGTATGTGGTTCGACCGGTTCACGAAGAAGATCCGGTTAAATAGAACGATTTGTTTGCGATCCGGACATCACTAGACGAGACAAAACCAATAAAACCCATTATAAACGAGGCATTTGTTGCATCCAGTGGGGACATAATTACTGATTATAATGACTTATACTGTCTTTTTACGCGTTGCATCGCGCCGCGTAAACATAAAACCATGTCTGCATTTGTGATCGGAGAAATGACAAACAACAAGCCCTACTCTACACTGCTCAAAACTCGTGTTTTAATCATCAGTGGCAAATACTTTAAATATGAAAACGTACTTACAGGCTGTGAGTCAGTGAGACACTTTATAGAAACAGCCTTTGTGCCACAGACTCATTGTAGGCTACTGGTTCAGGAAACAGTCCTCGTCCATCCTCCATAAAATGTGCTGCACACATCTGAATATTTGGGTTGAAGTGTTCTGGAACAGTGTTGTAAATACAACTTAACCACTGATTTCTAGTCGTGTCCTCTTTTGGAAGACCAAACAAAGTAGTTTCACTTTCACAACGAAACACGGCGCCTTCACAACATGACGGCGGCAGCAACAACACTACAGCGAGAATAAAAGTTACGCCTTCTTTCTTTGCGTGAACATTTGGGCAGCGTTATGCAAATCTTCCCACATAGTGAGGTAGACATGTGGGGGCGTGTTAGAACGAGGCGTTTTAGGGGGGCGTGGACGAGTCTTAACTTTTATAAAGAATATCTCTTTGGATTTGAGACTTTAGTCTTTGCAACTTTACAGATCTTCTTTATGCACCAAGAGCTTGTAACACTCCAAAGAGAAAGGAACAATTGAAATTGCATCATATGACCCCTTTAATCTCAGCCAATTCACTATACAGAAAGTGAAAACTGACGGCGCTTTGGGCATCTGACGCTGCATTAACCATATATATATAACTGTCTTAGATTATTCCCTTAATATTCCTATAATAGCTTTAATTATCCTCACAGCGTGTCATGCAGTGATGCGCTATGAAATTATTGTGGGGCAAATTAATTGTAATTTAATAATAAATGTAACCTAATAATAATAATCGGCCTAATAATAAGAAGAATGTAACAGGCCTACATTAATTGGAAATGCTAAATCCTCTTAATATTGCCAATTTTTGATCCCTGGCTATCTTCGACACATACGACGCAACTCAGCATGAGGAGGTTATCGCGGGGCCCCCAGCAGTGCGTGGGGGCCACTGTCTTTAATATATGACAGTGTGACAGTACCTACATGTCTTTCATCTTCAACTGTTTCATGATTATCTGAATTTCAGAAGTACTCCATTCAGCCACTGTTTTAAATGGAAAAACATTTTGTGCAGCATATTAACTCTAAAAGTGTGCCAGGGGACACTTAAGAGCTTAAAGTCTTGATCTGATCTTTTAAAAATAAAATAGTGGTGATTGGTAAATATGTTAATATATCAGTGATCGGTTCCTGCGTCAAATGCCTTGACTAGTTTTACCAATAGTAAAACTGATCCTGAACATTTATCCATATGAACCGTATGAAAATAATCAGATCTTTGTGTTTGTGATTTCCAGTTTCACATGATTCAGACAGACCTGCGGAGATTCAGTCTGATGATTCACAGAGAGACATTCGCAGATGAGGTGAGATATGGTTAGACCGCTCAACCCCATTTCACTCCACCAGGGGCGCCGCTAAGGGGGGAGAGTTAGGACGATTCTAAGGGCCACGCACTTTTGGGGCCCCCAGAGTTCTGTTTTATTAGTAGTAACAGCAGTAATGTAATAGCAATTATAAATGTATCTACCAAAGAGTTACAAATAAAACAAAATTACGGCTTATTTCTGCATTTCCAGCAAAATTATCTCCTCCCCCATTCACTGCATCATGGTTTCGTCCCGTCTTACGTAGCCTAGAGTCACTGAGTGCGATCAGATGGTAAACTGTCAAATTAGAGATGTCTTCGAGGGGGGGGCAAACCGAGCCGGACGATTTGGTCACTCGCACTTTTAAACACATTTTAGTTTTGCTACAGAAAATCTACAAATTCACAATCTGCTTACACAGAGCAGCAGCAGGAAGCGTGTGAGCTTGTCATGACAAAATATGGGGTATCCTATTTATTATTTTAGGATAAATAGATAAAAAAAAAAAAAGATTGATTCAGTCAGTGAGGAAGAACTTGACTGGTCTGCAGAAAGCCAGCTGAACACGTCTGGTGTGACTTTAATAAATGCAGACCTTTAGCCAAAAACTCATCACCAAACACCTGTGACTTGTACATATGTGTACAATCATTTTAGACACTTCCAAAACTGGAAACACAATTTTTAAATACAATTATGTTTCCATCTTTGTTGCCACAGTTTTGGAGTGCTTTTTTCTGTTCTAAAGAAGAGGGTGTCCTAATACTTTTGTCCATATAGTGTATGTACAAGTCATTGGTGTTTGGTGATGAGTTTCAACTGATTCAATTGATTTTCAATCAATCATTTATTTTTGAACCTTGCCTTATACACAGAGGCATCGTCATGTTAGAATAGAAAAGGGTCCTGTTCAAACTAGTGGTATAAAATTAGAAGCAGACAATTCCCTAGAAAATCATTATATGCTTAAATATTAAGATTTGTACTCGTGGAAATTACTAAAGTAGTCAAACCTGTTCATTAGACAGAGGTGTCCCAATAGTTTGGGCAATGTTTGGTGCGGTAGGGGGCCCAATCTCATATTCTTTCATAGGGCCCAAAATTGCTAGCAGTGCCCCTGAAACGCCCCCTTGGTACAAATTACATTTTTGTTAAAAATCTAATAACATGAAAACTATAGATGTAGAAATCTGATGTTTCACAGACAGTTCTGACACAGTGTTTTTTTAGAAAGCAGCAAAAACTAATAATGTGCTTATTAGCTCACAGAAGGCGGTGGTAATGCACAAGACTTTATCCACCGAAAAATTATGATGAAGAAGAAGATGGAGGAGGAAATGATGAAGAAAAAGAAGATGATGAGAAACATGGTTGGAGATTTTTGTATTTGGCGGGACCATTTACATTCTTGTCAGCTACCAAAAATAACTTTATTTCCTTTTGGATTATAGTTTTGGATGTGTTTTTTGGAACTGTATATACATATTTGCACACATTTGAAGAACTGAGAAATGAGTCCGTCTGTGTGTTTTTGTCTGACCAGTTCATCCTAAGCTTGTGTTTTCAGATGAACGCAAGATGATCGCACTAAGCAATATTTAGATTTTATTTTGATTTATCACGCAGCCCTAGACTAAACTGCTCTTTTTTTTAACCATAACGTAAAATGGCTCATTGTTCAGTGTTTGATCATATTTGGACATATTTAAAACACTGAATTTCTGACTTCGTTTGGTTTTGTTTTGTAGATTTTAGGATATTATGCATTATTCCATATTAGTATGCATAGTATTCATAAGTGAATGCACTTCAATTACAGTAATGCATTGAAGGTTGCATACATTTGGTTGGTTCTTGCACTTCAGAACTGCAAAGTTCATATAATCTGAATGTCTGTGAATGTATTTGATATTTGTAAATATTTGTTTTTTCAGAATTTGATTGTTTTACAGTAATCACTACTGTAATCACTGATATTACTGTAGCTATGTTACTGTATGTTAAACTTGAGTTTAAAACACAACACGAAGGCAGCTTTAACTTGACGTTGTAAAATGTATGCTTTGTCTGTCTGTCTTCCTCATTTGACCCAGTTTCTAGTTTGTTTCTTTGATTGTTGAATTCATTAGTCATTCCGTTGGTGTTTACTAATTATCTCTATTCCATTCCTTGCATCCATGCATTTAAACTCGCAGTTCTCCATTAGTGTCTGTTCATCTTTGTTTACACATTAGTTTAGTTGTTTCTTTCTGTTCTACAAGTATTTATCATTAAAGTCTATTCCAGAGTCATTTTCTTTAGTCGTGTGATCCCTTAAAGCAACCAGCTGTGACGGTCATAGACAGACTTATCTATACTGTTAAAAATACATTGTAAACATGTCTAAAATAGTATCTGGCTAATCATTATCATTTTTGAAGCTGACACTGTGTTTTATCCACCATTAGAGTTAATGCTAGATGTATAAGTATTCAATTTTCTGAGAATAAACTAAAAATACATTATTTATATTTACATATTACACAGTTTTTTCTGAAACTTTAAATATTCACCCCACTATCACATTTTTACAGCAAAGCACAACACAAATGCATGTAATACTCGAGATCTGCAAGCCATTACTCCAACCTTCATATCATCTGTGCAATATTAAACCAGTCAAAGTGTTTCTGAAACATACTTCTGTTTTATTTTTTCACTGTTTTCACTTCTCAGAGGAGATCATGATCACGTGACTGAGTGGCAGACAGTGAAGTGATCTCTCTACTGGAGATCAGCAGCATTACAGCTCAGAAGACATTCATGATATTATAAAGATTATATATATGTAGCGATTCCACTCAATTCCAGCTAAAAGATAATAGAACCACAAATTCAAGACCTAGGCTCTAGGAGGCAGTATTTGTGAGTCACAACCACAACACGTGAGTAATATTTAACAACTGCACAGTTTTATTGCACCATTCCTTTTAGAATATGAAAGTGCAATTTGATCAAGTAAAAGGAAAATACAATTAGTTCAATAATAGCATATAAACAAAAAACTTGGGCCCATAAAAAAAAAACTGAAAAATAGTATTTTCGTCAATATCTACCCGGGTAGTAAATATGATCAAAAGTTCTTATCTGATCCTTGTGTAGGTTCACTCAAGAAAAAGTTCAGTGGAGACTGAAGATCCTAGAAATCTCTGAGAGATCGCTCGTAGAAAACTTCACTGCTTGCGATATTTCTTCTCCGGAGTTTCACTGGCTCGCTATCTTTGATTCAACAACCTCGTGGCTTGAAACCACAGAGAAACGGGAAGGAAAAAAACCAACCTGCACATGCATATTGTAATCAGTTTTAAACACTGAACTCGTGCAAAGTTACAAGACCTCTTTCTACAGATCTGCATCTAATAAAATGATTTTCACTCTGTTGTACCATGAATAATGTTCATAGGAAATTATTTTCTCCTATCAACACATAATAGGTGGTCACATTAAACTTGAGTTTTTACATGTGAAATCTCTCATAAACTCAGTTTCGTGCAGAAATACTGATTAATAAAGCAGTATAAACATGAATTTGTGACTAAGCAAAAAGCACTTAGTAAATTAAACGACGCAATCAACATTACGCATATACGGTGGCATTTTCAACACATCTTTTCAATAAAATAACACATCACAACATCACTGAACATCACTCTGAATGCTTTTTAGAGTAAATCTACTAATGATGAAACTGAATTATCTTAAACTATGACTCAACCGAGTTCGTGGTTATGAGGGAAAAAATTATGAAGCATATCATGCATCACGTAACCTTTTTTTTAATACAATGTAAATTAGATTTAAACAGAAAAAAACACAATATTTTGTGAAATACACAAAGAAATAACCTTTCACAGGAGGATTCAAAACGGCAATCTCATAATGCTGTATATACGGGGAAGTCCGACTCTCTTATGGTTAGAGACTCAGACTCGTAACCCAAAGGCTGCGGGTTCGAGTCTCGTACCGGCAGGGACTGAGGCCCTTGAGCAAGGCACCGAACTGCTCCCCGGGCACCGCAGCATAAATGGCTGCCCACTGCTTCGGGTGTGTGTTCACGGTGTGTGTGTGTTCACTGCTGTGTGTGTGCACACTTTGGATGGGTTAAATGAGCACTAATTCCGAGTATGGGTCACCATACTTGGCCACATGTCACGTCACTCACTCATAACGCTGGCTCTGCTCTCTTGACTGCTCACCTGCGCACCTTCAGGCCACATCTATAACTGCACACACCACTTACGTTAACCCTTTCCTGTTACTTTGGATGGGTTATATATATACAGTATATTTGTGATTTCTAGTCTAATGTGATCCAGACGGGCCTGCAAAGTTTCATTCTGACATAAAAGCTGAGGTGAGATCCTCACGTCAAAACCCTTCAGACGTTCTCAAGAACAAACAGCATCACTGAGAGACCAGCAGCTGAACATCATCATCTTCATCTTCATCATCACAGACTCCATCACTCCAGACTACAGACTCATCTGATCACAAACAAACAGACTCATGAACCGTTTCTTTCTCAGGTCAGTGTTTTATTGAACTGTAGCTGCTGCACTTTACTCTGATCATTTTCACACCATGAACATTTGATCTGCATCTGAATCACACTAAATATTTGTTTCAATTTGCTCTGCCTTATATTTCATGCATTTTCGTTTACCATGTGTGTTTTCGTATTCCTGTATTTTGTGATTAATTTAATATATTCTAAAATAACTGGAGGAGTCCAGATACATTCAATCTACAAACAGATATTTCTAACAGAAGTGTGTTCATGGCTGTTTGTAAACTGAATGTATCTGGCTTATTTTTAGTTGTACAAAACAGCTCGTTATGCTGCCTGAGATTGCAAAAACTGCTGCTGTATTGTAGAGGCTCTGAACTCTGGCCCTCGGGATCCTGCAGAGTTTAGCTCTAACCGTGATCAAAAGGTTTCTAGTGATCCTGAAGAACCTGATCGGCTTGTTCAGGTGTGTTTGATGAGGGTAGGAGCTGAACTCTGCAGGAAAGTGGACCTCGAGGGCCAAAGTTAAGAAACATGCTGTATTGCTTGCAATGTTATTTTAATGAATTGTCATAATTATAAATACACTGGTCTGTAGTGTAAACTGTTTTACCGTTTAAGACACTTTAATCTTAGTTATTTCCATATTGCAGCTGATGAATCTGAAGTCTTACACATTCACAGAAAATCACTTCTGTGTTGCAAAGTAAGGTGCATATGTTTTTGTATCCTTCCATACTGTTTATTGTATATGCATTCATTACTCATCTTTTCACCATATTCTAAATGAATGCAGCATCCATTCTGTTTGTAAGACTGACTTAGTTAGGCAAAACTTATCTGGACGTGCCATCCAGCACCATAATGATAATGCTAGAGTTTATTTTATTTCAGTCATTTGTACATCATTCAATTAAACTACAATATCATGATTATATTAGCCATCAGTCAGAGGAACAGTCATTGTAAGGTCTTAGTGGTGGTGTTGGTTTTCAGATGAATATAATGCAGGTGTTATACTTTAGTAGAGAGGAGGAAGTTCTAGCTCTGCAGTGACATTTGTGGTAACAGAGCAGTTAAATTGTAGCACAAACAACACACAAGCAGCCAATCAAAGACAAACTTCAGTCAAAACCACCGCCTTTTCCATTTTGGCATGTTTCATGTTCTTAGAATTGAAGCCCTTTGCTGTTCGCAGAGAATCAGAGTCTGAGTATTATTTAGTTTTTCGCAGAATATCAGAAACTTTCAGTTCTCGGAATCGAAGCCCTTTGCTGTTCAATGCACACCTTCTCATTATATATAAATTCCCCTGAAGCTCAGACAGCACATCACCAGGGATCTCAGAGTTGTGATGGATGTTTCTTCTCTTCAGCTCAACACAAGGTGATTAAAACACTCATATTTCATTTTTTGTTGAGTTTTTATTATTCAATATTTAAGCTATTACTGTACTGTGAAATAGAAATGTCAAAAAATACAACTTGGCAAAGATAGTAGTAAGAATTTTTTACTGAATGAGTTTTGCAGTCCATGTTTTGCATGCAAGAAAGTACGGTACCTGTATTCTGTCAAAGCAGTCTGCAGTCTGACAAAGCAATTTGCATTATAGATTTACAGCTAAATCAGAGTACAGGCAGTTTGAGATTAAAATTATTTTTTATACTTCTACATCACCCGTGTCAACATAGTCCATAGTTGCAAAAATGTATCTTGATTTTATCTAGTGGATATTTTGGGGAAAACAGTAGGGGGCGTTTTACCCCACTCTGCCATACAGCTGAACAAAGACTGTGCTTTAAAGGGGTCATATGATGATGCTAAAAAGAACATTATTTTGTGTATTTGGTGTAATGAAATGTGTTTATGCGGTTTAAGATTAAAAAAAAAAAACATTATTTTCCACATACTGTACATTATTGTTTCTCCTCTATGCCTCGGCTTTCTGAAACGCGTCGATTTTTACAAAGCTCATCGTTCTGAAAAGCGAGGTGTGCTCTGATTGGCCCAGGAAACAGTCCTCCATAAAATGTGCTGCACACATCTGAATATTTGGGTTGAAGTGTTCTGGAACAGTGTTGTAAATACAACTTAACCACTGATTTCTAGTCGTGTCCTCTTTTGGAAGACCAAACAAAGTAGTTTCGCTTTCACAACGAAACACACAGCGTCTTCACAACATGGCGGCGGCGGCGGCAACGGCCAGAATAAAAGTTACGCCTTCTTTCTTTGTGTGAACATTTGGGCGGTGTTATGCAAATCTTTCCACATAGTGACGTAGACATGCGGGGCGTGTTAGAACGAGCCGTTTTAGGGGGGCGTGGACGAGTCTTAACTTTTATAAAAAATATCTCTTTGGATTTGAGACTTTAGTCTTTGCAACTTCAGGGATCTTATCTATTCACGAACAGCTTGTAACACTCCAAAGAGAAAGGAAAATCATATGACCCATTTAAAGTGAAACTTGACTCTGATAACCAGGCCCAGATTAAGAACACATAGGGCCCTGGGGCTATAGCAAACCCAAGGGCCCCCCTTCATAGCCTAGCTTGGTGCCACAACGTTTTCTACCACAGGAATAATTTGTTTTTGTTTTGTTTTGTTTTTTAAATCAAATCTCCAACACACAGAGATACAATGAGTATACACACTAAATATTCCAGGCTACAACACATTAAAATAATAAATACCATAACACCAGATATATGAAGCCAAAGCAAACAGGTTTCCAGAAGCAGCAACAACTTTTGAGCATATACAGCTCCCTTAAGGAGTTTACGTTAAATTGTTTTTATTTTTACAAGGTCTTCTTTCTGGCCCTAGAAGAGGAGAATCATCAGGGCTGGACTGGTGCTAAAATTCAGCCCATCTGGCCCACACAGTCCCCCATAAATGTTTTGCAGGGGTTAGGGCAATTGGAATAAACAAATAAATTATTTATTAATATATAATGGATGGAAAAACAAATAATATATTTGAATTCTTAAAATGCATTTAACAATATTAATATTCCATTATATTGCAGGCTCTTAATTATTGAATTCATATTTTTCTGTAATTAAAGTTGGAACTATTAAATTCTCCTTTGTAGTTGCCTTAATGAAAAGCTTATTATTGAATCCAGAGTTAACTATAGTATTAGTAAACCTTTATAAAAGTGACTTATTGCCTTTATTTGATCCAAAATTTGATAGGCAATAATTAGCCTAAACAATTTTCATGACATTAATAATAAATATCATTAATGCCATATTTTTACAGTGTCAGTAACTGCAGGTTAAATAGCCTAGGTGTGGTGCTGTGCGGATTAAATTGCTTAAAGGGTTAGTTCACCCAAAAATGAAGATTAGGCCATAAATTACTCACCCTCAAGTCATCCTAGGTGTATATGACTTTCTTCTTTCAGACGAATCCAGTCCGAGTTATATTAAAAAGTGTCTTTGATCTTTCAAGCTGTTTAATGGCACTCAGCGGGTGTTGCATGCATCAGTCCAAAAGAAGTGAAATAAAAAGCGCCCATCCATAAAGAAAAGTGTCTCACACGGCACCTGGGGGTGAACAAAGGCCTTCTGTAGCAAATCGATGCGTTTTTGGAAGAAAAAAAACATATTCAAAACGTAATAATCACTTTAATTATTCAATTAAATGTGACTCTGCATCACAGTATGGTAGGGGCGTAACATTTCCGTCACAGGCTTAAGATAGCTGATAGCTGGATAGCTGGCCAATCAGAGCACACCTCGCTTTTCAGAACGATGAGCTTTGTAACAATCGACACGTTTCAGAAAGGCGGGGCATAGAGGAGAAACAATAATGTACAGTATGTGGAAAATAATGTTTTTTTAACCTTAAACCACATAAACACATTTCATTACACCAAATACACAAAATAATGTTCTTTTTGACATGTTCCTGGATCAACATCTTTGTTGACGCTGGAACAAGGTGGTGATTAACCAATCAGATTAGAATCAATACACACAGATGAAGCCTTAGTTTGTTTATATGAAGAAATTTATTTATTTATTTATTTGATTTGGGATTCGTTTTAATATTTCACTTCATTTTTGCTTTTTGACATTTCAATTTCACAAAGAAATGTGCAGCATTTTGTCTTAGAAATAATAAAAGGACACCTTTTCATTTACAATTTGTCATAAACCTCATTTTGTTAAGACAAGAATCGTGAGAAAATCGTATTGTGAAATCAGTATCATGAATTCTATTGCACTGATTTGAGTGAATGCTTACATGCCTACTGTTGACTATTTTCTGTTACCGCTTTAGTTACATGGATGATATAAACTGAACTTGCTCTTGAACTAAAACCACTGGCTTCAACTAAACTCTTCATGTCATCTGTGTGATTTAACAGCTAGAGATGGAGTGTAGAAACGAGATAACACGGAGAAAACGACTGGAGCATCAGAAAACAGATCGGAAATAAATCAACAGGACAGAGAGAAAAATGGAGGCCAGAAATGAGACACAAACCAGTGAAACACAAGAGAAAAGCAGACAGATGCTTGTTAGATGTGACAGTATGAAGATAATAAAACCAAACTGTAAGTGTTTGTTCATTATGGAAGTTCTAGTCTCCACACACCTGTCTTAAAGTTTCACATTCAGACAGATTCATCAGATTTTCTGTAAGATGAAAGTTTAGAAATGTGTGAATGTGTGTAAACGACAGAATGTGTTATAGATTGAGAACATCAAACAAATCCAAAACAATGAGGATAATCTGATTATGTTTGTGTGTATCCAGTCTCACGTGATCCAGACGGACCTGTAAACCTTCATTCTGATGAAACTTCAGCATGTTCTGAAGAACACACAGCATCCCTGAGACAGCAGCAGCTAAAGACAACAGCATCCTCATCACAGACTCCATCCATCCACACTACAGTCTGGTCAGATCCTCAGGGACGTGCACAGACATTTTGAGCAGAAAGGGCTCAAGTGGGAAAAAAAGGCACTTCTCATATTTATTTAGTTATTTTTTTCAACAAAAAAAAAGAAAAGAAAAGTTAAATATATTAACACAACTCTGACTTAATTACCAATTTATTTTAATTCCCTCACACTCACCCAGTTGTTTCATGTTGTTTAATTTTTAAACAGATCAGAAACAAATAATCAGTTCACATAGAGACCATTGGTCTTCTTTAGCATTCACTAATTTTATGACAAGAACAGGCAACAACGAAGGAAACTAAGCCCCAATGTGCAACAAGTATGTATTTAGAATAAATGACTGCACAAAGGTGAGGGACATATTTTCACTAATAATTTGTTCATTTTGCACAAGACAATAAATTGTTTGAATTATTTTGGTGTTATTGTAATGTATATGCATATGATGGATTTGCATATGATGGACATATGATGGATTTGGTCCATCAGCATGGCGCCGCAAATGGCAGCAAGGACGCTGAGCTCCGCAATTCTTCTATTGTTTTTGTTTGTTTGTTCTGTGTTTTGTCATTCTTCTTCTATAAGTTTTACCAGAGACGAACTCCTTAACATTAAGCAGCACATCCCGGACAACATTTTTCCGTTTTTTGATCATTCGGACGTTTTGTTGGACATTCTAGTCCTATACTTCTATTTCTGTATATAGTACATTATTCAATTTTTCTTTTTTTTTTTTCTCTTATTATATTAGTTTTATATTACATCCCTACTGTGTTATTCCTATGTATGTCTACACTATCATGTATGTCTGCACTATGTTTGTACTTTCTTCTGCACTGGAAGCTCCTGTCGTCAAGTCAAATTCCTTGTGTGTGTAAACATACTTGGTAATAAAGCTCTTCTGATTCTGATTCTGATTCTGATTCTGATATGCCATGATATATTGCCTTAGCTAAACTTTAGCTAACTTATGACATGGTAGCCCATAAGTTATGGATGTTAGAAAGACAAATTAACTATATTTGCCTTTTGGATAATTAGCAGTAAATTCGAGGCACAGGTAGCTTGGTCTGTTGTTCATCACCACTACAGCAAGACAAACACAACTGGAAAGAGAGGGAGAACTTCACTTCTGCAGCTCTCTGGCTGTCTGTGATGTGATGTGCGGTCAATGTGTGCTACATGGGAAGTAAGGCATCAGAACTCGACAGGGTCTCAACATTTCCCAACCCGTCCCGATATTTTGATTTTATTATTTGTTTGACAGGAAAAGCTGTGCGCAAACAGAAACACACATGCACAAATATATAGCCTTTAGATGAACACAACACTGAGAAGAGATGATGCTGACCCTGAGAGGACTTCAGATGACCCCAGCTCTCAATCAGCAGAAAAACTGACCAGTTCTCTGTGAAGCGGCTTTGAAACAAGATGTATTGTAATTCAGATAAATACTGTGAAAAAACTCTTTGAAATAAACCAAATCCAGATTTATGTGAAGGAACTCAAGCATTTCTCAAATGAACACAATAAACAGATTCAATATTCCTCTTTGTGCGGTCAGATAAAGTGCTGGATTGACCTCTGACCCCTGTAATACAGTCACGTGTCATCCTCTACAGGTTAAAGTTAAAGATCTACAAATATATATGAAAGTATTTTCCAGCAACAGCAATGAAAACACACGCACAGATCTCACTTCATCAGCTGATATGATGTTATCTACTGGATTCATTTAATAAAGTCACAAGAGTTTCTGAGAAATCACTAAACACAGACAGAAAAGTGTGAAACATTATTGAAGTGAAACACAAAGATATGAAATGTGACTCTAATGGATGAGTTCTGCTGTTTTCATCTCTTCTGAAGCTTTGAATGCTTTGATCAGAATCCAGATCTCTTTCATTTCCACTCAATTCTGTTCAGGATTCACTCCAAACCTTTGCTCAGTGTTTCATCTGTGCTTCTGCTTTTGTGTCTCGATGCGGTTTCTGACTGAAGAATCACTTTTATTCTCAGCTTTCTCATGTGCTTCATCTCTCATTTCACACACAACATCTCTCTGTTTCTCCAGAGTCACAGCAAATCAAGAGAAGCGTCTCTGTTCTTACCAGACACTTGTTCTGCATTCATCTCTCAGCTGATGATGAGGATGATGAGGATTCATATCAAGCAGATCTCCATCTTCTGACTGAAGAATATGCATAAAATAACGAATCAGTCATAAATGCATTACAATGTGTATCATTATAATGTTTTCCTTGTTTAAAACCTACAGAAATATGTAAAATAATGCAATTACTTCTGTACAGAAGATGTGTTAGAAAATGTAAATCTAAGATGCTAATAAATTAATACAATATACACATATGATATAGAAAATATCCTTTCAATGTTTACAAAGTAAATTTTTATTCAAGAGAAGCACCTGCTCAGTGAATATCTGATTTCAGACGCAGTCTAATATTGTTTCTAGAGTTTTAAATCTCAGTGTAAATGTTAAATTAGAGACACAGAGCTGAAGAACATGTAAATGTGTGATGAAACACACCTGATTCACATCAGCAGACTTCAACAGAAACACAAGAGCTCAAGACTTTACACTAGACTTCTACTGTTTAACACAACAGACTCATTAGAGCAGAAGATGATCAAAGATTGTTTGCTAGAAATTCTGACATTTAAAATCAACATAAAAAGCAAAATCCCCATCATTATTATTATTCATGAGTTGATAACCGAATGACATTCACTGAATTAAGCTGAAAGAATGTCACTCATATTAAATAGAATTTAAGGCTTTATATATTTATCATACTAACAGTGGTTATCATCTTTGTCCACTAGATGGCAGAACTAGATCTTCAGTCTCAAAGGTCTTCAGGTTAAAGTCAGTGAAGAGAATCAGAGCTCTGCAGCTGAATGAGGATCATAATGTCACACATGGAGCATAAAGAGACTCATCACACACATCATGAGTGGGGATCAAATACATGAGACACTGCATGATCATCTAAATCACTGATGGCATGGTTTACTGTCATGTGAAAAACTTAGGACACTCTTTTCAATTCCATGTTTTTTGCATCCGGACATAATAATAATAAAAAAGATCTAGTCATGTGATGTTGTTCATCTGAGGTTTTATATTCCACATTTTAAGACCTGCCAAGGACCAGATATTTTTTTATGTCCTGATACAGAAAACCATGGAATTCAATAGGGTGTCCTAAAATGATATCAGAATCAGAGTGAGCTTTATTGGCAGGTATGTTTACACATAAAATGAATTTATTTTTGTGACCGAAGCTTCCACAGTGTAACAGAATGACAGTCACAATACAAAACTCAGATAATAAAAGAATAAAAATAGAACAAGTAAATAGGGAATAACAATATACAAATTGACAAATACATACACACTTATTTATTTATAATGGTTTTATTTTACACGCCCGAACATGCCCACTTAACTGAAAAGTAAGTGGGTGTGTCTTCGGCCTCCTGTGCTCATGACTCATTCTGTCAGGATCTGTGAGGAAGAACCCAAACACAGAACGGCACATTACAGAGATTTATTAACACAAGAGTGATCTGTGAAACAACAGAGGATACAGGACACGATGAAGGAACAGAGAACGACCGCTGGAACCAGCTTTAGATAAGAACCGGTCAGTTAACTGCAGAGGAGCAGGCAGAGTCAGACAGACAGTGATGAAGACCAGGCAAAGCACAAAAAAGATGAGATCTGTTACTAGATCAACACTAACTCTGAGCCAGTCTGACCGCCAGACAGAGAGAACCAGAGACAGAACAGCACCACAGGACAGGACAAGACTCAACCAGAACACACCACAGCAATCAAGACCTTAGCAGAAAGAGAATAAAAACACTGATAAAAATAAAAGTTAAAAAAAATGTATAATAATAAAATAAAAAGAATGTTAACAAAACTATAAGTAAAATACTAGAAAGCACCAAACAAAATAAAAGACTACTTGAGATATGCTTTCAGATTGGAACTTTCTGAATTTAAGTTCTGAATTTATAAAAGTGTGAAATATATATTACTGTGGCATAACAATGACTGAATGAAGGTCTACGACATGAATTATGCAAGTTCTTCATGTAGTAATAAAAGTAGAGTTTTTCTGCAATAATTCCTACTGGGTGAGCATTCATAGTAAAAGACCACGTTAACAAAAACAAGCACATACAAACTCCTGACCAATATTCATACCATGAGCTATTAATTAATGATATACATTGTGTGATCAGAGCTTTTCTAAGTTCCAGTCTGAAAGCAGCAGATGGGGACATGTAGGACTGTTATTGCAGTTGGAGAGAACCGGTTGGACCATCGATGTAGTGGAGGTGTTTATGAATCACATGAGTACAGAATAACAAAAATAAATGGGTGTGTCTTCTGCCTACTTTCCCGGTAATTCATTCCTCCTCATTCCTGTGGTTAGTGGAGGAATGGAGTTTTTGTGATGTTAAATATGCTATTTAAAGCAGCTTGTGACAGTCATCCAGAATCAGAAGCGTCTTGCTCTGTGACTGTCTCTGATTCTCTGTGATTACTGAAGACTGTTGTCTACCTCTCTCAGTGTGTTTTGTAAGTCAGCTTTTAACTTATTTAATGTTTTAAACACCATGTATTTGGATAAAATGTGAAGAAATATGGTTTTGTGTAAATTGTTGTGTAATGATGTCTGTACTCTGTGTTTGTATTTATTTTAAACTGTAGTTGAGTTTGTTTATCTCAATATCTCACAGTACAGGCTTTGAGACAAAAAAAATAAGTATAATTACTGGTCATTCAAATAGAATATATTATTTTAAATTAGTATACAAATTATATTTTAATTGCTGTTTGATAAATGCATTAAACCCCTCAGACACATTAAGATGATTTTCTGCAGCAGCGAATTATAATTTTGGACAAATGTATAAAAGATCACAATCAGCAGAGCACTGTTTTCTAAACCACACTCTCTGTTATTAACACATTCAGATATATGTTTAGTTATAATTGCTGTTATGTCATTCAGGGGAGAAGATTAATATTGATTGGTTTTTCATTTAATTGTTGTTGATTAGATGGAAATTAGGAGTAAACATGAACAAAAGAGATGAAGACACAAAGCAGTGGAAACATGGAGCTTGTGAAGATCGTCAGATGGAGCAGCTGCAGTGATATAAGACCATTGTGTAAGCAGAACATTTGACCTTTAATTCAATATTATTATATTAATTTCTAGAGTCTGTGTGAGCTCCTGATCTTCAGCATCAGTGCATGTACTGTAAATGATGAAGATAACAGACGTGTGTTTTATACATTTTTGAGACTGAATTAACGTGGTTTTGTAGCTGCTGTAACCCAACCCCAAAATTGTAATTTCTCATAACTTACTTGTATTCCCAGTCTCTGCTGATCCACACACACCTGTGAAGAGCTGCTCTCATCAATCACACAAGATCACACATGATGTAAGATATTAATAATGTCCATCAGTTTCAGCATGTGTGACTTTATTAATTAATCTGGTTTCTCTTTTGAAAAGCACAGCACATTAAAGTCTCTTCTGGACACTCCAGCTCCTGACAGCATCGATTCATTCACATTTCATTCATTTAGCAGACGCTTTTGTCCAAAGCAACGTTTGGCCAAACAAATGAGAAACACTGGAAGCAATTCCATGAGATAAGAACTTAATTCAATATTTTTATAGCACTGTGCACTTGCTGTTTTCTATAATAATAATATATATAATTTTAAATGAGGGTTTTACATTTCTATGGGCATTTTACTGTAACAGCACTGGACTGAAAACTGAATTAAACATGCTAATAAAAGTGGATCCTGGAGATGCACTTTGTCATTCAAATAAAATCCATTTAAAAAATGATTGTTTTTTATTTGTTAATCTGTATTGCAATCCATTTACATTTTTTCTGCAACAAACAAAATGAAGATCACCTAACAGTACACTACAGTACAGAAACAGTAAATGTTTTAAAGTGAAAATAAAAATGAGTTTCAGTTTAAAGAAACAGAACTTAATGTTATCTAGACAGAAAACTGATAAAACATAAACAGAACAGATACTCATATTGTACGATTTACAGAACGTCACTTTGATCTTCTGAGACACAGACAACACACACACACACACACACACACAGTATTAACATACAGACATCTGTTTCCACATCTCACTGAGAGAAGATGCGAGAAAAGCCCCTTTTTGTTTAGTTCAGACAGTTCTCATAAGATGAATGTATTTTATATTTGTAAATATAGTACAAGTTTTTACGGTAGTCACTTATAATAATCACTGATAAAGTACAGTATGATTGTGTAGAGTTGGGTTTATAGACTTGGGTCTTTTTAATGCAAAAGCTCCTTAAATCTTTTGTGAGGAACCATCTTCATAAAATATGATGTATAAAGACTTATTTTACTGTGAAAAATAAATTGTAGAGATGTTTAAAATATTACTTGGCTAATCATTACTTTTTATGAACTTGACTATGTTTTTATCTACAGTTAGAGTTACTGCTCGATGTATAAATGTGAAGATAGCAGCCTGAAGAAACACTCTTACTGTGTTGAGACTCCTGCTTTAGTAGGCCTCTAAATTTATAGATTGTAAAATGTAAAAATATGACCAAATTAAATATATTTAACACTAAACTTAAAATTCAGAGATAAAAAATATAATAGGAGTAAAGCACAACACAAATGTATGTAATACTAGTCCAGAGGTTATGATTCCTCATCATACGGCCTTTATATCGTCTGTGCAGTTTTGATTAAATGCATGTTGCTGAGACAAACTTTTTCCACTGTTGATTTTGTAATTATTATTATTATTATTTTTAATTCAGTAAGAGTTATGAAAGTCAAAAACCCATTTGATCACTTTTGCCGCTTGTCTAAAAACCCTGTGTGGTAAATTCAGAGAAGAGTGATGTTTTGAGTAACCTGACACTGATGATATCAGCAGAGCATTCACAACACAAACACAATGAGAGAGTAATGAAGTGATAATACAGTACTGTGATAAATGAAGCTTTCACCAGCATCAGACACCGACTATCCTAGTGCTTAAACTGGACAAACACACTGATGATTCCTTTATCAGAGTTTCATAGAAATTCTTATGTTAGCTCGTGAAAACTGAAGTGTAAATGTAACTACGCCTGCATGTGTTTGTGATTTAATTGTCTAGTTTCTCATGATTCAGACAGACCAGCAGTGTTTCATTCTGATGATTCAGAAACACATACAGATGAGGTGAGATACTGATCATATGCAGATACCAAATGTAGAAATTAATGCTGAAATCTGATATTATACTAAGAGTTATATGCATTGCACATTTTTCTTTAAAAAGCTGCAGTTCCTTTATCTAACCAGCTGAATATTCTTCAACATTTTTAATAACTGAATAAGTGATGTAGTGTTTCATTTTGTTTGTATTATTATTCATAATAAAATAGAGATATAATCATACAAATTAACAAATATCATGTTTATAGTCAAAAGCCAGAGTTAAGGGCCATTCACACAAAGGATGACAACTATAACAATACTAATATTTGTAAATATACTCTCTATGTCCTGTCTAGAAGCCTGCAGACATGATCTCTTCTGGGTCATCACAGAGAGGCACAAAATCACTTTCCAGGACCTTCACATTCACTGTTTCTCACTGGTGGAATGATCTGGACAGCCGAATCCCTGACAGTATTCAGGAAACAACTAAAAACTCATCTTCTTTGTGAGCACTTAAAGCTAGAACTTTTTAAGTATATTTTTTCTAGACTTTTAATTTTATTTTTTTACACTGGCTGAAAGTCTTCACATCCTGCTGGCAAAGTGCTATACAAGTTAAAACTATATATATAGATATAATTTAAGTTTATACTTTAAGTTTAAACACTAGCAGTGTTTTAAACAAGAATGAGGAATTTGATTGAATGTTTGGGTTTCAAACGATACAACAAACTTGCAGAGATTCTTCTCGACAGGTAAGTTAAATTAAAAGTTAAAAGTAAACTGCATACACTCACACCCCAAACTTATCTTACCTAGTTACTTATTAGAAACATACATTTTTCAAAAATAAACAACTGCTTCAAAATTAATTTTTGGTATGGGTGTGTGTAATTTACATTTTAGAGCAAAACATAAAAAAAAAGTCAAGTTATGTTTACCATAGGCTTTATTTTACTCATGAATTGAAAAACCGCATTGGAAAATCTTGATGCAACCAGTGAGGAATTAGTCTTCCAGATTCTGACGTCATACCTGTACCACTCTATGCTGGACCTTTTACTGAAACTAGTCGACTTTAACCTGTTGAGACATGCCTTCAATTTCATAAACCCACAAAGGCTGTGTTTGGTATGTCTGAGTTGGGGGAGGTGTAATGCACAAAAGGGGTGTTTGCAAAGGTTGCTTTATTTTTTAGTTCCTCTAGGTAACACTAGCACAGAAACTGCCTAACCTAGCGTTAACTGCATCTGCTGTTGAATTTTAATTGGTGCTTTCATTTGATAAAAAAAAATTAAATAATTATCACACATTTCTCTGTAATTATTAGTGATTAATCACATATTAATATACTATATTTACATTGTCATAATTTCACACTGAATCTTCATATTAATGTAGAAACAACATCAAGGCGGCATATTTTAAATGTTTTTAATGGCATCTTTTTACTAAGTAGCCTTTTATTAATGAAGACCAGTATCACTGATACCAAAACTAAAATAATTGTACTTTACTACCAATACTTAAATGCATTTCCCCTCAATTTTAGCCAATAATTACAGCCATTCATGCTGTATAAAGCAGCTTTCTGTGCGCATGCGCACTGTAAAAAAAACAACAAAAAAAGTTTTCTACTCAAAATAAGGCAACCTATCACAAGCACTTTGAGAAAACTCAACAAAGTCCACCCGACTTAAATTATTATGTTAACATCACAAGTTGACACAACATAAACAGTCATGATTAACAGTAATGAATAACAGAACAGCACAATTTTTTATTATAATTTTTTTTTTAACAACACGAGTAAGCCTATTATCTAGGCCTAGACTGATTATTATATATTATATATACTTAGTCTACTTAAAAGACAGACCATAACACAGGTCATATAATTGTAAACCGTTTGTGTCAAATGCACAACAATGACATTTTAACTTTTTGACCATATGCATTTTACACTGAACTCAATGCATTGTCCATACTAATGCATATTAAAGAAATCCACAAAAGTGTTGATTATATTGAATTATATTATATTATTGTAGATGCATATTTGCACAAAGGATTGTCTTCTACATTTTAGCATCAACCTGAAACCAAGGTACTATTGTACATGCACACTCTAGTAGAAACTCCAGCCTGAAGAGATGGTTCACCCAAAAAGGAAAGTTCTGTCAGGACCACTATCGTCAAAGATGATTGACAATTAGCATACAGTTTGGATTGGCGGTATGGTTCCGTTCTGGGCAAGAACTCCCTGCGCATCCATGCAGCCTAGCATGGATGAGAGCAGGGAGAGCAGCGATAACCCCACCCCCCAGGGTAAACAGAACAGAACCAACATAAATGTATTGCAGATATTGTTAAAGTTCAATAATGTTATGTACACATTTTAGAATTAGTCTGATTCAAAGGAGAATCAGAAGGCTGAATCCTGACTGACAGAGGAGGAGTTGGGGATGGAGGAGGGTAATTAGCTATTGAGCAATGCGAAAACGTCCCAGGTTACGTATGTAACCATGGTTCCCCGAGGGAACGATACGCTGCGTCGGAAACGCTAGGGGAACGCCTTCAGCGGTACCAAGCTCTGAATCATATGTGTAATCAGTCGAATCGATGGGCGAGACGTCAGAGGCGGGGGGCGGCATAAACACGGAGCCCTAAAAAGATGGGGGGGGCAGCCGGCGTCAGCTTCTAGGAGTGAAGCAAGCTCTACTAGGGATGCCGGAAGTATGGCCTAAATAATATCTGCAAGAATAAATAAATATTAAATTAGAATTTTACATCGTACTAAAAGTATCAAGTTCAATTGATGTTTTTGGGTTTTACTGTTATGTGTCAGTTTGTATATGTTATGTCAAATGTCAGCTGATGTTATTATGTTTAACTGTTATGTTAAAGGGGTCCTATTATGCTCTTTTACAAAGTCTTGATT